CCCATTTATTTTCTTTTACTACTTTTTTGAATTAATAAATCATACTTTATTGCATGTTTATGAAGAAGCCTGCATTTAATATTAATCTCGATAAAAAGGTATGTATTGAGTTGCTTTACAAAAAATAATATAGAATTATCAAAATCAAGTCCACTAAATCTAAGTACATTGACTGATATTTAAATTTATAGCTCAAAATGTCTCTTTTCATAGTTTTGCTAGAAGCTATTTAGTGTCTAGTTACCAGCAGAAGGGGGAGTCACACAAGCACTGAAAGGAGTTTATCCAGCCATATTTGTCAGCTTAACACCAGTAAAATTATTTGTAAAGTGCCTGGTCTTAAATTTGTTTTGCTAACATGATTGTATAGCTGTCATTTTAGCGGATTTACAGAGCAGTGAATTGAAATAAAAGGAGATGCATTTAAAAACGTCTAATCTGCCTATAGACTGTGTTTGACCTGTCTGGCAGAGTCGATTTTCTCTTCTTGCATACAGTATAAAATAGATGCAATGTGGTGGTCTAACTCTTTACTATTATATTAATGACATATTTTCATAAACCTGGAGAGAATACACACTCATAAAATATAAATACAACATGATCTGCATGTTATTTATATATAAATGTGACTGATGCTATTTGATGCTGGCGCCTCTGTCTTGCCCCTGATAATTGTCATTTCACATATGCTTTTTCCTTTAGTTGGAATTCATAATGAAAAAAAATGACACTGAATTGCTTAATAATTTGTCCATTGTGTTTGAATAGGATTTAGTTGAACTTCCTTTGCTGAAAAATTCCTAAATATTTATTTTTTGACCTGCTTTTGAGTTAAAGGGATATGCTAAGCACCAAAATTAGTTTAGCTTGGCGTGTACAGATCATGCCCCTGCAGTCTCGTTTCTCAGTTCTCTGCTATTTGGGATTTAATGCACTTTGTTTATGCAGCACCAGGGAAAAGTGTTTTCTCGCTTGGGCTCAGACAACTGCCAATGTTCATTTCTTGGTACATTGTGTCTTTAGTATTAGTGTATCACTTCTGACACTGCTGCATGAGTCTTTGTTCAATGATGCTTTAATAGAGTTACAGTGTATGATCTCTGGCTCTGTTTTCAAAGGTTATAAGTGGATCCATCATTGATTACTTTGGTCTCTTGGCTACAGCCTGTGTGTTAATCCAGTGTAGTGTCTTGTGATGATGGGAAGCATCTCGCTGTATGCTTCACTTTACTCACCTGAGATCTTTTGCACTTTGTTTTCACAGATGTTCGTGGTATCAGGCTGTCTTATGCTCTATTTAATGATGAAGTACTTTGATTTCAATAAATTATATGTAATTGTAAAAAAACTCAGGACTGATCACTCTCCTTTTCAGTTATATTTGTGCCTGCAGGTTGCACCCTGGCAGTACTGGGTTGTCCTGAGTTTGTGACATATTCATCATATAGATTTTATAAATTGTGTATATGTGTGTGTGTATATATATTTATATATATATATATATGTGTGTGTGTGTGTGTGTGTGTGTGTGTGTGTGTGTGTGTATAACCAAAGAATAATCCAAGATGCACTCTCAGGACTTGTGCAAAAAAATTCAGTTTTATTTTAAGTCATGTGCAAAACAAAAACTAACATTTCGACCTCTGCAGGTCTTTTTCAACCTTCATGTGTGTATCTTTATGTAGATATTTATGTATGTGTATATATAATGATCACATCACAAGTGGAGCTAGAGCGCTGTTTCTCTTGGCTCTGTCTGGGATCATATTTAAACGTTCTAATTTTTTAATGAAGTTACTAAGTAAACAAATGTCTCCTTATTTCCTTTAAACATGTCCTAGCCAGTGAAAGTTATTGCACATTTAAGCGTTAGAATATTTTTTACATATTTGTGGCTATTTTGGTAGGAGTGTGGAAAGCTAATATTCCTTATGAAAATACTCTTAGAGAAAAGAATGTGCAAACTAAACTTTGTTCGGGCAACAGCTATTTGCTGGTATGTTAACAAATGTTATATTAACTCCAATAGAATTTCTGTTTGATATTTACACAATAAAAATAAGTTTGCAATAACAGTCAGTTAGTTGTTAAACAAATTGGAAAGTGAGTGGTATTTAGTGGGTATGAAACCAGCGAAAACATGAACAAATTGTCAAAAACTGTTTTAGTGAAATATTTGTTTTCTCACGCTAGTAATCAAATTGTTCAAAAACAATGTTACATCACGTTGAAACAGAAATAGACGACTACAAGTATTCCAGATGCAATGTTGGATGGTTAAAAAGAAACTCTGGAGTTTTTATTGAATGTGTCTATTAGTAGAAATTCAAGTGACCCTTAGTGTTGCATGTGGTTTTGTCAAAAATCAGGCAGATGTGCATTTGCAATCTGGATAATATGGTGCAGTAATGTTAAATAATGAACACCGCTATTTTTCACATCTTAATGCAAACCTTCTTTCGTACCATATGATTCTTATTTTTTATGGAAATATTTTCTCATGTTGGGAAGGTTAGGCCATATTCAATTTATGAAGGTCTCATCATTTTCTGAGTTTTCTCAAAATTGGTCTGTGTTGCCCTATGTAAGGAATTTGGTTTAGAAATGTATCTTTAAGATGAAATAGTAATCATGGGAAATATGAGTTAATTTGGATATTGTTTATTATTACCATTCATCTATTCAGAAACACATTTGAGAAAAATGCACTCAATTCTCAAGTGTCCTAGATCCATCAGGTCTATTCTGATTTAGGCTACATGTACTGCCTTCTGATGGCTAGGCTATCATTGAGAAAAGTTCGAGAATATTTAGGATTATATCATAGAACTTGTTTGCAGAACTCGTTCTGGAATGCTATGTTGGGCTGGCAAAATGCACATGCCTATTTTTAAATACTGAGTATTGTCAAGTTGGGAAGTCTGCTGTAAAGACATCTTAAATATATAATCTGCAAGAGATTTGAGATAAAATTGCTGTTCTTTTTTTGTTACATTTTAGCTGCTTGGAGTATTTTTGGATGTATGCAAATATATCAGGTACAGGTTTACAAATCTCCAGCTTGAAGTAGTTTATCTTTGCCATTAAGAGAGAGACACAAAATCAAGGTTTGTTGTTAAAAAGGCTTTATGCCGCCTATTATGCTGAATGGTTTACTGCAAAAGGCATGAAATGGCTCATTGCATGTAAACACAAATCTGTCATACTGTTATTCTGAGAGTCATGTTAATATATTTGCACTAGTTGATGTGAATTAGTTCTGTACTTTGTGTTTCAGTATCTGCATAGATGGTTTCGCTAGTTTTTGGAGGTGTTTTTCTTTTTTTATTTTTTTTCTGCAGATACCTGTTTGTAACTGTGATTGATTTTTGTTTGTTTTGGAGGAGGGTTTTGGTTCTTAACCCCTTTTTTCTATTAAAATCATGTTTACACCTTTTATGTTTGTTTTCCAAATAAAATTTAGTCCATTTAACTTAATTTATATGCCAAGAATAATTACCAGCTTCCAGAGGAAGAAATTCCTCTGGGAGAAGCCCATTCCACCAATTTAATGTTTACAAATGTCTTGAAAACGACAGCCTCTCCCTTTTGCCGAACAGTAAAGGAAACTTCAAATATCATACCATTACTACCATCAAGGAGTGAAATGTATTCCACATATGCATATTAGAGTTACAGATTGATGTCAAAATATGAGCCAAGTCTGTTTATGGTATGTGGTTTTCGCGCTCAAATGTAGACATTCTGTTGCCATTTTTAATAGACTGTAGGTCAAGTAATCCTTCAGGGTCTTTACGGATACTTAAAAGCATGGTATTTGAGCATTTTTATTCTACTTTTTTCACACCTAATTTAGTATTTCTGCTTTTATGCTGATGTTTTGCAAAGTGTAACATATTACATGGGCTATACTGTATACTGTGTAAAGATTTTAATTTCCCAATATTATGATTGCGTGTGAACAAATAAAAATAAAATTGTGCAAATTTGCATTATGTAAATTTTTGAGAAACACGGTCACACTCAGCACTGCTATCATTTCTGTGCTACATTTAGCAGTCTTGTTTACCAAGTTGCATCACCATTGTGTTTTCCTAAAGTCAGTGACCAGTCCATTGTCCTGTGAGAACTGTGATGTCAACAAAAAATGTTCCACAAATATGTTCAAAATCCCTTAGGTAGGTAATGACCTCCGCTGTCAATGATTGATTGCTGATGTCAATGGGAATGTTTCCAAGCAGAAATGCTTCTTGAGCTCTCCAGAGCTACCCATGAAAACCAAAGATACACTATGCATATAACATTAGTAACAGGTTTCTTCCTGGACAACACTGTATTTAAAGAGACTACATTTTATCTAATTTTTTTCATCATCATTACCTATTTTTTTTTCTTTTCTTTAGTATAATCATGAGTATACCACAAACCATCGCCTCAAACCAAATAATGTCAGTTATTGTGGTTCGTGCGTGTTGTTTTGTGTTGCCTTGGGTGTATTTTGATGTTACATGTCATTGTATGAGTGTTGTCAGGGCATTTTTATTTTTTATAAATATACGGTTTTTTGGGTTGCAAATATTTGCGTGGGAGATGGTAAGCTGCAGGTGTGTTTTGCTAAATGTACATCAACACATTTAAATATTGGTAGGTATCTGCATTATACGCAATAGTTACCATCTGTCTATAACCACTAGCCTTTCTAAGATGTATAAATATTTTGTTAATTTAATCAATTTGTTTTTTGAAAAACTTAAATGTTCTGTTTAAAATTTTATATTTTTTTTTTGTGTGTATGTATGTATGTATGTTTGAGTGAGTGTGTATGTGTGTGTGTGTGTATATATATATATATATATATATATATATATATATATATATATATAATATGGCTGAGCCTTCCTCTGGGCTGATACTTAGTGATGTCCCGAACGGTTCTCCGCGGACTCATCATTGAGTAAACTTTGACCCTGTACCTCACAGTCAGCAGACACATTCCAGCCAACCAGCAGCAGACCCTCCCTCCCAGACCCTCCCACCTCCTGGACAGCATCCATTGTGAAGCTGCATTCTTAGTGAGCTGTCCAGGAGGTGGGAGGGTCTAGGAGGGAGGGTCTGCTGCTGATATGCTGGAATGTGTCTGCTGACTGTGAGGTACAGGGTCAAAGTTTACTCAATGACGAGTCTGCGGCGAACAGTTCGGGACATCACTACTGATACTGTCTGGTTCAGTACAGATCCATCTACTTCCAGTTCAAAGGTCATCAACACAAACTGCTTCCAGACAAACTGGTCTTGACCCAGTGCGGCTCATGCAAGTATTCATTTTACCTCACTCTAGTAAAGAGCCTCCTTCCTTGAAGCTCATGGGGCACCTCTGTGTCTGGCCCAGCCATGGCTGTTACTGTTTGCACATTTTATTCTAATTCTTTTTTTTTTTTTTTTGCTCTACAAAACTGTAAGTTTGTTCATTGGGAAAAGGCTAATTTCTCTACTAATGCAAATTCAGCCTATTTCAATCGTACATGGCATCACAACGATGCATCAATTAGGTTAATGCTTTTACTTACTGTTTTTCGCCATATCAAATTTTATCATATGCAATTCGGTTGTCACACTTCGGTTTATGTTTCATTTGTCTGCCCTCTGGGTATTCATGCACTCATTAGGCCTACATTGTTTAGTAATTATGTGGCTAGGTGTTGCCACTGTCTAAATTTATGTCAAGCCTAAACTGGGGCCTATACATGTGATTATCAAAAAAAAAAAGGGGGGGTACTGGATTTGTTTCACTGTAACAGCCTGTTAGATATTTGTTTAGTTATTGGGATTTGTTTATTGCATGCTTACTAAGTAAGCCATCCCTGCATATTTAAGCCTTAACTAATTTTGGCTCGCTAATGTTGTCCTGATTTCTCACATGTTTGTCCGAAGTTACGTTCATATTTTTCTGCAAATAGCATCTTTTAAAAGTGAGTTTGCTATATTAGGTTATTCCTGGGTCATTTTGTATTGCCTACATCTTACAAACTCTGTATGATCTCTATTAATGATGTATGCACTTGAAGGAACACGCCACTGCCCAAATACAAACTAAGTGGAAATCACTGTGTAGTGATGTTCCCCCGAATGACAAAATGCATGCATTTATGTAATTTTTCATGGGGGTATAATCTAAAACTGCTTGCAAAATCTGCAGTTATCTTGTCTGCTGCTTCTGCCTGCCCTCCCCTTCTAACCCTCTCGTTCTGTGGCTGTCCAATCTCAGACTTCCTGGTCTAGTTCAAGGAGAAGTCTTTGCAAATTGGGTGCTGCCTGAGTTTGTCTCCACTGGGCTGATCGGGGGGAGGGAGGGCGAAGGGGCTTGATTTACAGAGGTCAATATTTACCGAAGACGTCACTTAAAAAAAAAAAAAAAAAGGAAGTGTTAATGTGCCCTACAGGGCTTCTACCACCTGGTATGGGCTTTTAGTTCGATTACTGCATTTTAGGTTTTATTGTCGCCTATGGCCTCATTTGACCACTCAAGCATATCAATTTTCCACCTTCCATAAATTCGGTCCGCATTCGACTGCGCAGGTTTCCTTTATATAGTACGTCATCCACTTTTTAGACACTGTCAACATTTCCGGCCCACTTAGGCCGTTCGTTTTATCGGTTGCACGAAAACACGTCAATCATATTTAGCCATATTAGGCCGGCTCAGGTATTGTGATTACTTTTACTGTCTTATCTGTAGGGTCTACAAATAATGCATTATGTAAACCTCATTTAGTCATGTTCAGTTTGAGCATGAAGTTATAGCTGATGTTGATATTCCTCCATTGTTCTAGCATTTGCTGTTGCTTTCAACCCTATTCTCCTATGCCAGTTGAGTATGCAGAAGTGTTTATCATCCTCCGAAGCATTCCGCATGTAGGGCTTTTTAACATATATCTTATATCTCCTGTCTCTTCCTATGTATCGTGTACGGCTGTCACAGCCGCAAGCTTGTTCAGCCACTGTGGCATTTTAGAGGCATGGGCCTCTGTTCCCATTTTTTATTCTGTCTGCCGATACCCCATTTTATTTAGCTCTGTCGGTATGTATTCTATGATGCTCTATAAGTGTTTACATACAGTTTCTATTCTGTTCGCCATTTCATAAACTAGATGATTTGTAACTCTATCAGGTTCTCTACCATCTAATAACCAACATGTCTTGGTTACATACAACTTCTCCACAGCAATTCTCTGATTCACATCCTACCTTCACCTGCATTAATCTCAACACAGCTGCACAGCCATCCTCTGTAGCTCAGGAACCAAATTGCGACACCTTCTGGTATTATACATAATTTTCTACTCATGGCCCTCACTAAACCTTTACAATGTGCGGTCATATGCCCCACAGTAGGCAACATGCCACGTCGTAATTCAGCACCTCATTTGGGCATTTCATTTGCATTACATCTGTCGTACAGGGGTTGCATACTACCCCATTATACTCCATGTTATCGACAACATACCTATCCTTAAGACTCTCATTTTGCCAACCTCAAGGGGTAATTGTAATCCCTCATTATGTACATTATCTTTACCTCACATTAAATCCTCTAGTCGACCTATATCTATTTAGGTGAGTTTATTATATCCTTAATAGATATATTGAAACTACTCACATATAGCAAGGTTGTAAGTAAATCTTAACCTGGTCTTGTTTCAGGTCCAATGCCTTCACACGTGGCCACACTGAGCCATCATTTCATTCCCATCATATGGCCCTCTGTGGGCAGCCCAATACAACCAATTCAGCCCATCATAGAAACATAGAAACATAGAATGTGACGGCAGATAAGAACCATTCTGCCCATCTAGTCTGCCCAATTTTCTAAATACTTTCATTAGTCCCTAGTCTTATCTTATAGTTAGGATAGCCTTATGCCTATCCCACGCATGCTTAAACTCCTTTACTGTGTTAACCTCTACCACTTCAGCTGGAAGGCTATTCCATGCATCCACTACCCTCTCAGTAAAGTAATACTTCCTGATATTATTTTTAAACCTTTGTCCCTCTAATTTAAGACTATGTCCTCTTGTTGTGGCTTTGCATAAGTACCTTCTTGCTTCATGAGGGTTATATGTATACACCACTCTTTCTTACATTTCATTACATCACTTGTACTCGCTAGGCCTATACGGCCCTAACGCGGCCTGCAAAACTCCATGGTGTGTTAATCCCTTATGTTATACATTGTATCCCTACTTCACATACTGTCACTTTGGTCTTGCACAGTATTAGCAATGTTATGTCTCAAGTCACCTACATTGAGACACCACATAATCTATTGTGTTAGTTGTATATTGGTCATCCTTTGGCATGGGCCTTATGGTCCGCCTCCACTGCATGCCACATTACCATCCTTTTAGCCTAACTACTATTCCTACCTTTACAAGTGGACTGAACCAAACACTAGAGCTTCACTATTGGTCATTTCACAACACCTGCATCTTGGTATGCTTATCTCTTTGTTTGTTCCATACAACCGTACCCCTCATACAGCTGTATTTCTCCATCCAGTAGCCCAGGACTAACATTGAGCACTCTGCCTTCCTCTACAATACCTCGACACATGGCCCTCACTAGGCCTTCACTCCATACGTTTACAAATACGTTTACATATGGCCTTCCACGGGCACTACGACAATTTCGGCCCCTCATTTGGGCAGTTACATACGTGAATTTCCTGATATACGAAGGTCAAAGAAATACAACCTTTCATACTACATACCAATATTACACATGGTCTCGTTAGGCCCACTCAAGTCTTTTCCATACGGCCCTCTCTCGGCACATTCCCGAGAACCTGGAACCTTTCACTACGCATTTAACATACCCAGGCCTCTTCGGTCCGTCACTATTTTACCTGTTTAGTACTTACACTTTAAGGCACTTGCTAGTTCTGGTATTTCACTTCCTGCAGTACACTAAGGGATTTGATTTGATGTGATGGTTGGTTATTTCTCAGCGTGTTCTTTCTCATACACAGTTCAGGTCCTTCTAGTGGAAGGATGTGCAGTGGGAACTCGTGCTTAGATTTGGTACAATCAGGTATCCGGTACCAGCTTTTGATGTAAACTTTTATTTTTCAGTTACTCCACATGTCTGCACTGTTATGTTTTATGTTATGCCTTTCAGTCACTATCCCTGCTTGCTCCAAACTTGCAGCTGGTTATCCTCAACTTGATCATTTGTGAACTGTACACTCACCTCTTGACATATACTTCACAGGGGTCTGGTTGTTCAATTATTCTGGTAACCTCCTTAATGGCCTATGTCATTATGCCAAGTCTCACCAGGTATACTTTATATCGACCATTGCATATCTGGGGGTACATTTGCATGTATGGTCAACTGAGTCATTTATTACACTGTTCAATTTCCTTTGATTAGTTTGGTAACAGATATTAACAGAGTACTTTGTGTCCTGAGCTCATTGAACTTACTTTACCTACCTTACCGGCAATCTCTGTTGCATTTTCGTCGGTGTTGGTGTCATAGTTCTGAACACTAAGTTCTTGGGTCTCTCTCTGATTTGGATCTCTGTAAACATTTTCTTTTGCCCTCCACTTTCTATTCACCTATTCTTACCATCAACTTCTAGCCTAGCTTTCATTTATCTTGCAGGTGTATGTCTAATCATGCTACATTTATTGTTTTGCATTTACGTTTTTCAAGTCACCATGCATGTGACTGGCTTTACGATACTACCTCCCTTTTTACAACAACCACTCGCTCTAGAGAACTTATCTTTAGCTTTTTCTGGCTGTTAGGGTACCGTAAGTGGCCATAGGTAGTTTTCGGCTTCTTGTGCCATTATATAGCTATCCCGCGAGGCCAACTCCCATCCTCAACTACGGCGGTATTCGCCCCTCGGGCCAAGTCATAGTTACTGCCTTGCATCTCTGCTCTCTTGGCAAAAGCAGTTAGGGCCTTACCTATCACGCCCAAGTTATTTTGAATCTCTTTAATCCTCACCGAGAGCCCAGTACTCGGTGGCAAACCTACCCAATGGGCTAAATCCATGGTAGAGCCTTTCATCGCCACTTGGCAACTAGTAAGGTTCCCAAGTCACCAATTTAGCTTAATTGTGTCGCCGCGTGGCTTAACATAGGTCAGCCAGTATCTTTGTGTTTGAGTATCCCCCCACTAACAAATTTTCTCTTTTAGGTATGGCTATAAATACTGATAAAATGTAACATTGCGCGTATTAAAGTGTTAAACTATTTCTGTGTTAATGAGTATCCTTAACCCCACTAACAAAGTGGCTGTCTTTCTCTTTTAGGTATGGCTATAAATACTGATAAAATGCGCATACAACGGGGAGGAGAAGAGGAGGAGAGCTCTCTGCCCAGCGGTGGAAAAAGGTAAGTTTTACCCCTTTCCAGAGCCGGGCGGGAGGGGGTCCCTGAGGGTGGGGGCACCCTCAGGGCACTATAGTGCCAGGAAAACGAGTATGTTTTCCTGGCACTATAGTGGTCCTTTAACTTTCTGCCCTCTTTTTACAGGCCTACCCAAATGTAATTTTCGGCACACCACAACTGACTTGTGTACCACTAACATAACTCTACTTATTGTCCCCAACCACAAATAAATATATATATATGTATATCATTTATTTATTTATTTTGGAGTGGTGTGGGCTGCCTACTGCTTTTACCTTTACAAATGTGTGACTTTTTACCTTTAAAGGAGAAAAAGAATAAAGCATCACATGACCTATTCCATCTCTGCTTGCTTTAAAATAAATATCTTTAGTCATCCAAAATGATAAAAGTATAAACAAATTGCAGCATACAACTCCCAATGCACCATTACTAAGAATCTTTTTATTTTTGTTATAGATCAAAAAGTATTTAGAACTCGAACCACTCGCACGGGGAAAACGCTGGATTCTGCAACCGACATCCTTGGAGGACATGGAATCTGTAAAAGACAGCTTCACAATGCTCATAAATTTATTAGACGATAGAGAACTCGAACCTGTTCAAATCTGAAAAATCCTGGAAAGCGTTGTCCTCAAGCATCACACTCCTCCTGGCAGCTGCTTATAATCCTAACTGTGCAGGGGCAAAATTGGTTTTAGGGTGAAGTGTAAGCACTGCTGCCTGGATCAGCAGGAAAAGGGGAAATTCTACTTTTATTTTGCATTCTTGCACAATCTTTCTACTGCATTGAAACTATACTTTTATCATATACAACAAGGCTCCCGCTTATTGTCAGGAGCTATGCCATCTTTACAGATACAGTTCTGAATATCATACTGGATGCTTGCCCCCTACTTATTGTAGGCCAACAAGTCACATCAGATGCCCGACACAGTGACTTCCAGAAAAGCAGATTATTTTCTAAATCTGCTGTGCAAAGAGCCTTTTTTCATATTGTAAATCAGCTAGACAGGTTTTATCTTGTTTGCTATAATGAAATTGCAGTAAGATTTAAATTATGTTGCCAATTAATTGCAATTCTATTCTACAGTTTTATCCTCTTTCTTAAACGATCACTTAAACCTTTTGAGTGCCAAATGGTCCTGGAACACATTCTCAATGTATTACATGTCCATTATGGTAATCAAAGGCAGAAATATTTTTGGAGGGTGGTGGGAATGGTGGATCACTTAGTAATATAGTTTTAATAGGTTAAAGCTTCCAAATATAGAATATGGATGTATTGTTTAGGAATTAGAACAGGACACTTCTTTGATAATTACAACTACAAATGACATTCGATTAATCAAACAGGTGCTTTTGTAAAAGGGGTTAAATGTAAGTATAAGTGTGTATGTACGCGCGCGTGTGTGCGTGTGTTTATGTATATATGTAGAAGTGTGTATAAATATAGAAACATATAGCCGTTTAGACTAAGGGAACAGAAGGACAATGGTGCATGATGCACATAATCAACTGTGGCCAAATAAATACTACTGAATGGACTGTCTTTCATTTACCACTAGCTAAGTGATCATAGTATTTTTAAAAGAAGTATTTCTGGTTTAAAAAATTTTTTTTTAATTTCTCCTTTTAAAAAATAAATATATATACTTCGGTTATATTCTAGAAATAATGCCATGCAGGTTATTAGCCTTTTTTTAAATATATACTTTTTTAAATGTGTTAAAACACAACCATGTTTTTTTTTTTTCCTTCATTAAATAGCTGTAAATAAAGAAAATGAATGTGGGGAATAGGAAATAACAGAATATGCTGTGTGCCTTCCAATGTAATGTTGGCAGTATCTTGTTTTTATTTTAATATATTTTTTTTTTGTCTGTATAGTAGATGATCCATAACTGTTAAACAAGAGAGGCAGTATTAATTGTAGAAAAAAATAAAATAAAAAATAAATAAAAACTATACAACTGTAACCTCCCACTCAATGTCATTCAACTTAAATCTATTCTACATATTACTTGGTAAATAAGTATTTGTATTACATGTGTTAAAGTCTATATTTAAAAAAATAAAATAAAACTTAGCTCTGTGTGAGATGGTCACAGTAGACACATTATTAATGAGTTAAAGGGACCCTATGCGTTACTCTTTAGGGGAAACGTGTAATTTAGACAAGGAGCTAGCATTCTGTGTCGCTATAGCTGCTGATAGCCTATAATTTATCTACAGCTACATGTTGTGATGTAGACTGAGGATTAGGGGAATCAGAATTTAGGAACAGTTATAGGATGAGACTTTTCCTACCGCTTTCACTGAGAGTTTGTACTAAGTAGTTAATCAATATTGTAATGTCTTCAGTACTGTTTTGTAAATGATATGTTTGCTTTATTCAATTATTTTCAGCTGTGAAGTTTTGAACTCGAAATACATTCTAAATCCTGATCAGCACAATGTTTTTATTCAGACATGATAACACAAGTCTTTTATTTCTCTATATCTCTCACACTGATATTGAACCATTTTAATGAGCAGGAAATCCTTTGACATGCTAGATCATTAACCAAGGTATCGTCTTTTTAGAATATTGTGGTTTAATATTGCTCAGCCATCTGTTAAATTGATTTCTGCTTGTCTTATGTGTTTGTATGTGTCTGCCTTTGGCTTCTTCTTGTAAGACCTGTGATTGCCTGCTATACTGTGTTTCAGCAGTCGCAATGAAAACACGATCAATCAGTATCCAACAGCAGCTGTTTTTGACAAGCTTCTGTCTGACGCCTAATACTTTAAAACTGTCAGCAAGCCTCTGTCTTTGTCTACTAGATCTAAGCTGGCTGTCTTGCCCTCTTCTGTATTCTGCATTATACGTCATTTTCGTACAGTTCTAGAATTTGAGACATGCTTTGAAAGTCGTTATTGATGTGTGGTTATATACTGTATAATAGTGCTGGGCGAAAACGCCTCACGGGAATTCCCAGGAATGAGGTCCCACATTCTTTTTTTTTTTCTTAACCTCATGGATGCATCATAAAGTTATTTTTTACCAAAGTCCAAACTGGAAATTATTTATAGGAACTTGTGACCTTGTGTCTAATAGGTGCCAGTTTTATATGCAGCAGTAATAGTATAAAAAAATTAAATTGCAATTAGAAACAGTAGTAAATTGCATAACGGACTTTACATAGACGTTTAGAACATATAAGCAGTAAAAAAAAAAAATAAAAGTAACAAGTATAGAGACTTACTAGATGTATTGGTTATAATAACATGATGATGTGACAGGTGATTTGCAAAGAATGTTGTAACTAGATTTGCATAATCCCTTGTCATTAAAATGGGTAACTGGCTGCCCTGCTCCATCCCAGAGCCTAAATAAAAACATTCAACAAAAGTTACCTAAATATTTTTCGAAAACATATTTGCAAGGTATGAAGCGCCATTTTATGCACCTTTCTTTTTTCTTTTCAAATTTTTCACCCACTCCTATTATATATGTATACGTGTGTGTATATATTTGTATATATACACACACACTGTGTGAGAGATTTTTAAAATATAAATATTTACTTTGCATTGTGACATGTCTGTTAGGTTGCTAAACCAAAAAAAACATATTGCAATTCTTGTAGTAGTTCATTGTATTTATAGAAGTGAAAGAGTTTTTGTAACCTGTTAGCTGGTTTCTCTTTTGTAATGGCCTTTAATTTATATTACAATATTACACAAGTTTGTATCTTTACTATTGCTGAGCGAGTACTGTTTTTCCATTATCTATCATGTTATCATGACTTTATACTAAGTTTACTATTACTTGTATAACTCTGATTATATATATATTTATATATATATTTTGTGGTGAGAGCCACAATAAACGGAAAGATGCGTAGTATACGATTTTTAGTGATTTTCACAATGTCTGAAAATAAATCTGAATACACTGTTTACCCTGACCTTTTCTGTTGAGACTATATTTTGGCCTCTACTATCAAAATCCATAATTGTTTTATTTTTCCGTGTTGGATTTTCAGGAATTATTTGAAAATAAGTCTGAAAATTGTGTGGTTTGTTTCAAACAAATAGACTAATGTTTCTCTGTGTTTTTAAGCTCATCCCTTAAATTATCCTATTACTGGACCATGGCTTCATGAAGAATTTTGCCATGCTACAACTTAGACAAAATTTTCTCAATGTCTTAAAGCTCAGCCCTTATTGTCTCCTATTACTGGACCATGTCTTCAGGAAGAGTTTTACTATGCTACAATGTTTGTTTTTTTCCCCCCCAAAGCTTCACATCATGAAAGATACTGTAGAATCCAAGTTCTGCTGTAGAACTACCTACATCCAAATGAGTCACTTAAAGAATTGTAAAACTTTTTGTGGTCTACCTGTGAAATTACCAAAAAATATTTTTGCACACTGCTATTTTATGTATACTGTACATAAGAAGGGTTGCCTGCAGTTTACTAAACGAAAATATTGAATCACATTAACTAGTTTACTGACTTATCAAACCAAATATTAAAAATGTAATTCAGTAAAGAGGTTGTGTAACATGAAGATCATTGATGCAATTTCCATTATTGTTCAAGAACATGGTACATTTAATCACACAAAGAATAACGTTACAGAAAAGATACCTGGAATTCTGATATATGCTAATTTGGTAAAGGAATCTAAGAACACCTGCATGTATCCAGGCTATCCTAATCATCAACTAAGCAAAATATATTTGTGTTTCATAATGGGCAGACCTGGTGCTCACACGATCTACACTGTTTATGTTTTTGACTCACTCTTAATATGCTAAAGTAATAAAGTTCTATTTAAATGGGATTCTAATTTACTGATATTCTGTGTTTTAAAAGATTGCTAATTAAAAAAAAAATGTCGGGTTAAGGTATTTGTAGAGACAAGCAGAAGAGACTATGGGAGAAATTTAATGTTTTGAAAAATCTTACCTATTTCTTCCTTTTTGTTTTATGACTGCAGTACCTTTTAGTACCATATTTAACAGTATTTCTGCTTTGCCTTAATCTATTTTTGACCATTTTTATAACACTTTCAAAAGGTTAACTGTAACAGCCCATCCCTCTGCCATGTGTGAGAGCCATGAATAGCTTTTAAATACGGATTAAATTTACATTACGGATGATGAAATGGTACATGTGCATTGGCACCACGGTGAGTTAAGGACAGACATTGAGCCTTTGGGATTCCTGGTTTTGGTCAAATCACTAAAACCAAAAACTGAAAAACAGCACAAAGAGCTTAATGCCACCATAACCTTTTCATTGGCATAAATGAATTATGGTGCTTAGATTGCCCATTTACTTGAAGGCTTACAGCACCAAATGTAAAGAATTAGTGAAGAAAATGCCCTTCTCACATTTGCTCTTCAGACAGTGACTGTGACAGTTTATCAGTATTGGGTGTAAACATCAAGAAACCAATTAGATATGATCATTTGATATGTTATTAGATGACCAGGAATCCTCTTTATGAAAATAAAGATACTGTATACCAAAATTCACTAGTACACTTTGAATGATGGCCAGATGCTATATACTAATAATGAATGTATCCACACACCCCCACACCAATCACAATATCCAATATAGCTGCAAGTATCTATAGATGTCCATGCATTAAAATGTGGGTATGGCACGTGATGGATATAACTGAAAAATCAGCATATTACAAAGATGTGCATTTTATGGAAATGTTTGAGAATTTTTCTAAAGAGATCACCTAAATGAACATGAAGACGTATGGCCTATATATTATTCCCTGCATTAATTCCTTCATTACCATCACATTTTGATTGAGCAAAACCGTACCATAGAATGGGTCTAAAATGACTTAAAAGTGAATTCAGAAGACCAGTACGCTGCATTAAGAATGGCTGGCAGAGAGCCTCTGCTTGGAGACTTTAGTAGATATAGCCCCACTAGTAGACTGTGCACCAAACTGTGATGTGTAAATCCGTGCCATAGTCATGGTTAGTCTAACCCATGAAGCTAGTGTGGAGGCGGATACGGGATGGTAAGGTTTATGGTAGGAAATAAGTAGTTGAGAAAAGGATTTTTTTCTAAAATGAAATGTTTTGTCTTCATAGGTAAGACAATGATGAGCAATACAAAGATTAATGTGGCTGGATAAGTAAGATAGAAAATAGAAACAAGAGAAGTTATAGTTTGTCTGAAAATATGTACTCCATTTAGGGATTTTTTTCAAAGGGACAAATCTAGGGCTGAAACATCAGGATATAGGTCACAAAATAACCTTCAAACAGCACCATTTCATTATGCCTGCATGTTTCAATCATTTTGAGGATTAAATTAACATTCCACATTTAACAACATATGGTCTCCTAAAACATATTCCCTTTATTAAGCATCAGTGGGAGCATGGTTAGCAGGGATCAATACACGTTCATAGTCCAAAAAGCCTTCCCAGAATCAAAATTTGAAGATAGAAAATTTCAATACATATTAGAGTGGAATGTATAGGATTCAGGTCCCTTGCAAAACACCAATGAACCCAAACTTTCCAGGCCGATCCATAATTTGCCGTGGGACCTGGGACCCATGCTTCATTGATGATGTTTTTATTTAAATAATATAGTTCTTAGGGATTTCTGCTCTGAGAAAAACCAAGCAACCAGGGGTAGAGGGTAAATCAGAGGGTGAAGATTATGTTTTGAGTCTTGAATAATTTAAGGATATGACCATAGAATTTGTGGGATTTTTATGATCACCAGAATTTTGGAAAGCCATGATTGAGCTGGCTTACTTGAAGTAATCGGTGTTTATTTCTGTAGATAAATCCCCAGTGAGGAGCAGCGACAGCAGACACGAGTGCAGCACGGAGCAGCCCCTGGAGGAGTGGATAAAGGAACTGGAGCACTGGGTATGGCAGGAGCTGTGGTTGGAAGATGCCTACCAGGCACTTTGGTGGTATGCAGCGCAGTATATACCCTGGACAGCCGAGCATGACAAGCCAGAGGGAGAGTAGTTTGATGGCCCTGGTTTGTTATGGGAGTCTTTTTCAGAGCCTGATTTTGGGAGCTCTACACAAACCTGGTTCCGTGACATTTTTGAGTTGAGGGAGAGTATGTACGACTTTGATGACCCTCACGAGGTGGAGCACCTTGCGACCCGAGAGATGGAGCTGGAGCAGGACTTGCGACCCGAGAGATGGAGCTGGAGCAGGACTACCAACATCTGTTCCACTCCATTGAAAAGGCACGACAGAAAAGCAGAGCGGCAGATCCAGTTCCAGACCCCTTCAGCTGGGAAGATATTGTAGAGATTTACTGGGAGGAACCCCAGGCGGCAAGTGGAGATGGGACCGAGGTCTCTCCACCGGCCCTACAGGAATGCTGGGTGGTCAGCCCAGATCCCCAGCGGCAGATTGATTTTCAGGGAATAGAGAGCCGTGTCTCCTTTCCCCATTGGCAGTGTGAAGTGCAGGGAGTGGAGAGCATCGTCTCCCCTCCCCAGCGGCAGTGTACCTTGCAGGGAGGGGAGAGCAGCGTTCTCCCTCTCCAGCGGCAGGCTGAGTTACAGGGGGCAGAGACAGCTGGTCCTGTCCCCCAGTGGCAGAGTGAATTGCAGGGAATTGGGAGCCCTGTCTCCATTCCCCAGCGGCAGAGCAATGTACAAGAAATTGGGAGCCCAGTCTCCATTCCCCAGCGGCAGGCTGAGCTACCGGGGGCAGAGGCGGTCAGTCCTGTCCCCCAGCAACAGGGCTGTTTAGCCAAAGGGGAGACAGTCGGTCTTCCCCTCCAGCAGCAGAGCTGTGTATATTCAAAGGGGAGACAGTCGGTCTTCCCCTCCAGCAGCAGAGCTGTGTATATTCAAAGGGAAGACAGTCGGTCTTCCCCTCCAGCAGCAGAGCTGTGTATATTCAAAGGGGAGACAGTCGGTCTCCCCCTCCAGCAGCAGAGCTGTGTATATTCAAAGGGGAGACAGACGGTCTCCCCCTCTAGCAGCAGAGCTGTGTATATTCAAAGGGGAGACAGTCAGTCTCCCCCTACAGCACCAGAGCTGTGTATCTAAAGGGGAAACAGTCGGTCTCCCCCTCCAACAACCAGTCTCCAACCAGGCTACTTCCGTGGTAGCGCTGGCACCAGGGCAGAGTACTGCTGATCTCTGCCCACTCAGCAACCCACTAAGGCAGCCTACCAGAGGCACCTGGACATGGACAAGTTTCTCCTCTACCCAGGTGTAGTAACCAGTTATTGTGGGTGGGCTGTTCCTGCTTGACGCTCAAAACGGAGCCTTGTCTCGTTCTTGGGGGGATTTATTGTATGCTGTTCCAGTTCGGATGATTATTCAAAATAACTTTTATTTAACCAAAATTACTTAAGGTGGTGATAGGTGCTATATTTAATTGTATTTTCTATTTCTACCACCAACTTATTATAGTACTCAGAGATTTTTATTTAATATATTTGCTACTTTGAATTTTGTTAAATAAGTTATTTTAAATAATCAACTATATCTCCATGAATTCCATCGCCTGGTAGTGGATTTCATAGCCATAAGTGGCACCCTTGAGCATTTTATACAGAGCCTGACACGGCTCTGGGCCTTGTGATTGATATTTCAACCCCATCCTTTTATCATTATAATTTATACAGCTCATACTATATGTTTTTAATTATTAATTTTAGGAGTTCCATTTTGTTTTGGGATACCAAAGAACATATTGAATTAAGTATAAGTTTGTACTTTGGAGCAGGCCCACTATGGCGACTTCGACGAATTTTCTGGAAATGTAGAGGAAGAATACTTACCTGCTCCAGCGCTGCTGGCACAACAAAGCAAGGCAAGCTCGGATTCCTGCCAATGACCACTCAGGTCTTAAAGACGCTTCTGGCGGATCTTCAAAAGAACATCCTGACGGATGTAACAGCACTCAGAGGCGACCTACAGGGCCTGACAGGCCGAATAAGCACACAAGAAAAATCCCCTACCGGGATCAGAAACTACCACCCTATATCACTAATAAATGTAGATGTTAAAATATTTGCTTCAGTCTTATCCCACAGACTTAAAGGCATACTAGAGGAATTAATCCATCAGGACCAGGTTTGTTTTGTCCCAGGTTTTGACTCTGCCTTGTTTGAAGAATAGTGGATCAGTCTGATTTATATAAAGAGACGCCTCCCCCTCCTGACTCTGTCACTGGATGCTGAGAAGACCTTTGACAGAGTCGGGTGGAATTTCATGGTTGGGTGGAATTTCAACTACACTGAGGAAGTATGGTAATACAGGTTTTCTTTTTAAAAGCTATTTTGTCTATGTATCAAAATCACTGCAGACTGGTTTAAACTAACCAACAGCACAAGATAGGGGTGTCCTCTCTCCCCTTTACTTTTTATTTTAATTATAGAACATTTAGCTGCAAATATTAGAGAATGCCCTGAGATTAAGGGGCTATCATAAAAAAGCTAAGATTAACCTCTATGCTGATGACATCCTGGTGGCTATGACAGACCTCATAAATTATTATGATATTTATAGAGCGCCGTCAAATTCCGCAGCGCTTTACAATGGGTGGACGAACAGACATGTAGTTGTAACCAGACAAGTTGGACACACAGGAACAGAAGGGTTGAGGGCCCTGTTCAATGAGCTGACATGCTAGAGG